AGCACAGGCCAGCAGTCATGGTATTGCTGACGTGAAGCGGATACTGACAGGAGGATGTGGGAGTGGGTAGGAGGATGTGGGAGTGGGTAAGATGGAGGGAGGATGGAGGAAGGAAGTGGGGGGAGGGAAAGAAGAGGTGAGAGTAGGAAGAAGAGAGAGGGAGGAAGGAGGTGAGGGAGAATGATGGATGGGACAGGGTTAGATGTAGGGAGAGGAAGGAGAAGGATGAACTTAAGAGATAGGATGGAGGATGGTGAGGGAAGGCGGTGAGGGATGGATGGAGGGGAGGTGAGGGATGGAGGGGAGGGTGAGGATGGATGGAGGAGGGAGGTGGTGAGGAGATGGGGTGGGTGAGGATGGAGGATGGTGAGGATGGATGGAGGGAGGGAGGTGGTGGGGATGGATGGGAAGGGAGGTGGGGAAAGGACCTTGCCACCCTTACTTCTTTTGCGACCTCGGCAAAAATGTAACAAAAGATTTGATGTGATAATACCGGGTGTGTCTTGTGGCCCCAGACCTCCACACAGGGCCCTAACCTAACCTAATACCGGGGGTGTCTTGTGGCCCCAGACCTCCACACAGGGCCCTAACCTAACCTAATACCGGGGGTGTCTTGTGGCCCCAGACCTCCACACAGGGCCCTAACCTAACCTAACCTAAGAGTTGGGTTTGGTTAGATTATCACTATCCACCATTATCATTGTCGTTATCATCATCATCATTAATTAAGAAAAACATGAATATAAAACAAAATATTATCTATATATTTCCTTCTTATCCACTAAACATTTTGTGTGTGTGTGTGTGTGTGTGTGTGTGTGAATGACTGTGTGTGTGTGTGTGAATGACTGTGTGCGTGTGTGAATGACTGTGTGTGTGCGTGTGAATGTGTGTGTGTGTGTGTGTGTGTGTGTGTGTGTGTGTGAATGACTGTGTGTGTGCGTGTGAATGAGTGTGTGTGAATGGTGTGTGTGTGTGTGTGTGTGTGTGTGTGTGTGTGTGAATGACTGTGTGTGTGCATGGCTGTGTGTGTGCGTGTGAATGAGTGTGTGTATGGTAGTGTGTGTGTGTGTGTGTGTGTGTGTGTGTGTGTGTGTGTGTGTGTGTGTGTGTGTGTGTGTGTGTGTGTGTGTTACGACGTGAGGTCAGCTATAAACAATCAGACAATCCTTCTCTTCCTCCCCCTCCTCTACTTCTCTCCCCTCTTCTCCTACCCCCCCCTCCAGCCACACAAGAGACCCATTTATGATCGAATTTTCCGCCTGGGACTTTTAATATCTGGACTAGCCGGACTTGTAGTGGTTCGTCCGGATAACACCACATGTTCCTCGTAAATCATAACCGGCTTATTTTCTTCACTAATTTACCAAGTCATTTTGGGTAGCCTGGTTAATAGTTGTTGGCTGGTAGTGGTGGTGGTAGTGAGGAGGAGGGAGAAGTGTAGTGGTGGTGGAGGAGGGTTGAGGAAGAAGAGGAGGAGGGAGAGGAGTGTGATGGTCGACCCTCAAGAACGTGGGTCACATGCTACGCCCTCTCCCTCCGCACCTCTCTCTCTCTCTCTCTCTCTCTCTCTCTCTCTCTCTCTCTCTCTCTCTCTCTCTCTCTCTCTCTCTCTTTCTCTCTCTCTCTCACAGTGTACAGTACTCGTCACGTGGTGTGTGTGGTGGTGGTGGTAGTTGTGGTGGGATGATGCTGGTAGCCTTTTGAGGTTAATGCTGATGATGGTTGTATGGTGATGGTGGTGGTTAATGCTAGTGACCTTATGGCGTTGGTGGTGGTAGTGATGATAACGCTGGTAGCCCATTGGTGGTAGTAGTAGTGATGATGGTGGTGGTGGATAATTCCGGTGGTAGCGTGGGTGGCAAGGGTGGTAGTGGTGGTAGCAGGGGTGACCACCACTACCACCCTCCCTCGGCTGCATTCCCTCTAATTACTGATATAACTTGTACTCTCTCTCTCTCTCTCTCTCTCTCTCTCTCTCTCTCTCTCTCTCTCTCTCTCTCTCTCTCTCCACAGCCTTTGGACGTACACACGTGTGTGTGTGTGTGTGTGTTTGTTCGTAAATATCTACATGTCGACATAGTGTGCATACCAGCATTCATGGGTGCGTTAAAAATCACTTAATTATTATAATTATTATTATTAATAGCAGTAGTAGTAGCATTATTATTAGTAGTAAATACTAATAATGCTACTACTACTACTACTATTTTTTTTAAATAACGTGGCCTCCAGCCTCCCCCAATAGCCACACCTTCGCCGCCATTTTATTACCTTAAAGTTAAATATCCTAATACATAAGTAGCTATCCTAGCTGTGTTGAGTTAGTTGAGCCGCAGGTCTATGCTGCATTCAGTGACTGTTGCCTCATAGTCAATATCTACTACTACTACTACTACTACTACTACTACTACTACTAATAATAATAATAATAATGCTACGTTACCGATAAAGGCAAATGGTTTCAGTCTCAATAAACAAGAATTTACAGATGCCAATGCTCTAAGGTACGGTAGACCAGTAGAAGGTTTGCCCTCCCAATACGTGTGTGGCTCTTCCTATGACGTCGATCACGCCATGGTGTGCAAGAAAGGGGGCTTCATATGCATGAGGCATGACGAAGTAAGGGATCTCACAGCAAATATGTTGAAGGAAACCTGCCATGATGTCAGGGTAGAACCGACCCTCCTTCCATTGGACGGTGAGATTTTCCAACATAGGACTTCAAACACATCCACGAAGCCCGTGTTGACGTCAGTGCTCGAGGATTCTGGATGCGGTGACAGCGAGCCATCTTCGACATCAGGATTTTTGATCCCATGGCCGCATGTCACCGTAACTTAGCTCTCGATGCTGCACACAGGAGGAACGAGAACGACAAGATAAGGGCATACGGGTAGAGAATTCAGAACGTTGATCAAGGCAGCTTCACTCCTCTAGTGTTCACCCTCTGGTGGGATGGGACCAAGTGCAAGATGCTTCTACGCCAGACTCGCGGAGGTGATATTCGAACAGAAGCAGCAGCCCAGAAGTTATGTTACAGCCTGGATGAGATGTCGACTGTCCTTCTCTCTCCTTCGGTCGGCATTGCTCTGCCTCAGGGGAAAGAGAGCATCGGCCCCAAAGCCGACAACAGTTGCAGATATTGACTATGAGGCTACAGTCACTGAATGCTGCATAGATCTGCTGCTCAACTAACTCAACACAGATAGGATAACTACTTATGTTTTAGGATATTTAATATTAAGGTAATAAAATGGTGGCGAAGGTGTGGCTATTGGGGGAGGCTGGAGGCCATTAAATAAGGAGTAGTAGCAGCAGTAGTAGCATTATTATTATTATTACAGTTATTGTTGTTATCGTTATCTACGTCATCATTAGTGTAGGTCTGTGGTTGGGTGTAGAGAGAGGAAGTGTAGAAGGTGGGAGGTGAACGCAAGGTTGTTACACCCAGGAAGGAGGTTGTGAGCCGCGCCGTGTACTGGGTGTTGTTATTCTCTCTCTCTCTCTCTCTCTCTCTCTCACCACAAGGTAACACACACCTTCCTTCTCTACCATCTACCTCCTTCAGTAGCCAATCAGATGCGTTCTTATGTGTCGAAATTAACCAGTGACATGTTTTCTTTTGTGTCGTAGTTAGCCAGCCAATGGGATACGTTCTCGTGTGTCGGAAATGACCAATCAGATGCGTTTCTACAGTCACTGGGGGCGGAACCTTAGCCCAATTAGCAGGTGACATTTACCTTGAAAACCTACCTCGGGTGACATTCCGAGGCGGTGGTAGTAGCGAGGGTAGTAGTGGTAGAGGTGAGGGCATTAGTAGTAAGGTGGTGACAGTAGTAGTAGTGGTGGTAGTAAGGATAGTGGTAGTTGTATAGCATAACCACTGATTCTACGGAAGATTGTTGGCTTCAAGGTAAACGTGTCGTAAAAATTATTATAATGTAAACTGGTTTTAAGGTAAATTATAAGTTATCAAGGTAATTATAAGGAAAACTATAAATTGTAAAGTAAAGTAATTAAAGTAGATCTTAAGGTGAATTAGCGACTAAGGTAAACTCAAGGTAAACCGCTTTAATTTGAGTCTTAAGGTAAACTGTTTACCCTGAGGTAAACTGTTTAAGGTAAACTATATATTATTACTTTTATTATTGTTTCTCTGTTTGTTTACTTTCTCCTTTCCTCTCTTTCTTCCTTCTTCCTCCTCATCTCATTCTTTCTCCCTTCCTTCCTCTTCCTCCCCTCCACTTAGTCTCTCTTCCTTCCTCTCCTCCATTTTCTTCTTTGCCTTTCCCCTTTTCATCTTATTCTTACTTTTATCATATTTTCCTCTTCTCCCCCTCCTCATCTACCATCTCCCCCTTCCTCCCATTCCTCTTCTCCCTCCACCACCTCCTTCCTCACCCCCCTCCCCCACCCTTCCTCCTCTACCATGTCCCTACCCCATCTTCCTCCTCAACCCTCCCACCTTCCTCCTCCATGCCCCTCCCCTCCTTCCTCTCAGCCCTTCCCCTCCCCACCTTCCTCCTCTCACCACCCCCTCCCCTTCCTCCTCTACCATCCCCCCTCCCCTTCCTCCTCTCTGCCCCTCCCCTTCCTCCTCTCTGTGCCCCCCCTCCCATCTTCCTCCCTCTGTGTCCCCCCTCCCCACCTTCCTCCTCTACACCCCCCCACTCCTCTGTCCCCCTCCCCACACCACTCCTCTACCCTTGCTTCCTCCTCCAACCATCCCCCCCTCCCCACCTTCCTCCTCCTACCGCCTTCCCCCCTCCCCTTCCTCTCTACCTCCTCCCCCCACCCTTCCTCCTCTACCAGTCCCCCATCTTCCTCCTACCATCCCCCTCCCCCTTCTCCTCTACCATTCCTTCCTCCTCTTCTGTACCCCCCCTTCCTCCTCCTGCTGCCCCCCTCCTCCCCACATCTTTATCACCATCATCTTATCTCCCCCTCCTGGTGGTGACTGGTGTAACAGATAAGTTAAGCAGTATTTGTTGTTGCAGGTGGCCAAGCATCCCTCCTCCACCACCGCCTCCACCTCCATCCTCACCACCCAGCCCAAGGAGGTAAGTCCTACTGAGAGAGGTGAGTCCTACTGAGAGTGAGATGTGAGTCCTACTGAGAGTGAGAGGTGAGTCCTACTGAGAGAGCTACTGAGTGAGGTGAGTCTACAGAGTTCTACTAGTGAGAGGTGAGTCCTACTGAGAAGTTCTACTGAGGTGGTGAGTCCTCTCTCTGAGAGAGTTCTACTGGTGAGGTGAGTCCTACTGAAAGTTCTGCAGGAGAACAGGTCCTACTGAAGTTCTGCTGGTGAGAGGTGAGTCTACTGAGAGAGTTCTACTGAGTGAGAGGTGAGTCCTACTGAGAGAGAGATTCTACTGAAGTGAGAGGTGGAGTCTAGAAAGTTCTGAAGTGAAGGTGAGTCCTACTGAGAGAGAGTTCTTTCAGAGTGAGTGTCGTTAATTCTTGTTGTTGTTTTTAATATTGTTGTATTATTATCATTTATACTTATTATTATATTTGTTGTTGTCATTATTGTTGTTGTTCAGTACTTGCAAGTCTCTAAGTATGTTAAGTCGGGCCCTACGAGCTTGGATATCCTTCAGAATACTCAACAAGTTAATTTTTTCCCTTAAAACTGGTGCTAAGTGAACGTATCTAGTTAAGGTAGAGTCTCAGTGTAAATGTTGTCTCCTAACTGGTGGTGCTAAGTGAACGTATCAAGTTAAGGTAGAGTCTCAGTGTCAATTACGTCGCCATTTTGACTTCGGCTACTTCACTTATTTTACCTCCAGACAGTCAGTAAGGTTAAGGGAGGTGAACCCACTTAACTGGAGACACTCTTAACACACTTAATTAAACTTATTAGTATGTTCTCACGCCAACTGTTTAGGGGAGGGGAGAGGGTGTGGATGTTAGGTGAGGTTCATATTACTCGGTACTGAACCTCTGAACCCGTGAACCCCGAACCCCTTACGTATTGGAACCTGATCTAGTATACCATTTCATAATAAAAAAATAATAAAACTACTACTACTACTATTACAACAACAACAACAACTACTACTACTGCTACAAGAGAGACCCGAGGTACACAGAGGGTTGCTAAAGTATCACGACTAAACACCTGTGCTCAATCTCCACACACACACACACACACACATACATACAGGTGAGAGAGAGAACAGTAGCCAGGTAGGTTAATGAGGCAGTGTTGTGTTTCACCTGATATGATGTTCAATAGCCAGTGCTTCTTAGATAGATAGACAGGTAGATAGATGGATAGGTATACAGATGGATGGATAGGTATAGATAAATAGATTGATGGATAGGTATAGATAGATCGATGATTGGATAGGTGTGGATAGATGATTGGATGGATAGGTGTGGATAGATGATTGGATGGATAGGTAGATAGCATAATCCACACCGTAACATCAATATATTATAAGTTATATTAAAACAGTAAACGGCTCACAGCCATTCCCATATAAGATTGAGGTTAACGTAGATGTGTTGACGATAGTTCAGAGGTAAATACCAACTTATCAACAAACCTTTGACACTGAGGTCCTACGCGATGGAGTGAGGTCTTGGGCGGTGAGTTTTGGGACCTGACTGGAGCATTAGTGTAGTTAGTTATAATGGGACCTCGTGCTCCTGGAGTGTGAGGGTAGTTAAGGTCTCTACCCTATCATCAGTTTAAATAATGATAACGTACGTAACTGTGAATGTTTATTTTTATTTCGTCTTTTAAGTGAGGGAGTTAATTGAAATCTCTTATCTCCAGGGAGGGGAAAGATTAAATGTACGAGTTTTATGTGAATCTGGACCGCGGTGGACAAGAAAACAGTTCCCGACTTTGCGCGCGTCTCCTGGCTGTCTGACCCCGATGCGAACACCCGCGTTTCAACTCCTTCACTCTTGACTTCGATCTACCGAGTAATATCCTACTGTGACCACCATTCAGTTTATTATGGTGATACAGTACCGATATAATCAACTGTGTGTTTTTATTTAGTGGTGAGTGATGTAGCGTAGGCGTAGCGTTAGCGCGGGCGTAAAGGTGGTTCAAGGTCTCGACTGAAGACCGCGCCGCTCACCCGGATGATTGTTTATACAGACTGGGAGGGTTAGAGTTGCCAGATACCTCCCGTGCTTTTAATAACACACACTGTATTTACCAAGTCTCCGCTTCGTTTACTCTTCAGTGAGACTCCAGATCGCTCACAGAAAGAGTTTACCTGTTGGATTCAACACTAAGGGAGACGAAAACACTCGGGTAGATAATTAAACGGTTGAAAACAGTCCAGGTGGCTGTGAGGGGTGTCGCGTCGCAAGGTGAATCCTGCAATGAAACGAGGGATTGTGAGCCACAGCCGCCAGCCCTGGGGAACGACGCTTACAGAATATTGTTTGTGAGAAGGAAATACTGGAGGAGACATGTGGCCAACGCGACGGAGAAGAACTAGAGGGAGGGAGAACAGATGACTATCGGAGAGAGAAGGCAGTAAGGAGGATGATGGGCAGAGAGAGATAGATAGAGAGAAGGGGAGAGTTGTTTTTCAGTGGTAGCAGGAGTTCACACACACACACACACACACACTTCCTCCTAGTGGTGGACTTGTGGGCTGATGTTTTGCTGCTGTTGGTGGAGGAGGTCCCAGTAAGTGTGTGGTGGTACCCCCCCCCTCCCTTCTTCTCCTTGTGTAGTGTAGCTGAGAGAGAGAGAGAGAGAGAGCTGTATCCCTCCACTTGTACTGTAACTTGCGTACCTACCCTCCACATGTACTGTAGATTCTGGGTTTACTGAAGTGAAGTGTATATACTGTACTGTGTGTTCCTGGTATGAATATTCCAGCTAACCTTACTTCAGTCTCTCTCTCTCTCTCACAATAGCTATCCATTTCACCCCCTCCTTCCTCTTTCCCCAGGGTTAGAGAGAAGGCGGGGAGGGGGGATGGGGGGAGGTCCACCAGCTGACAGTAAAAGGAAAATTACCCACGTCATTAGTGGCTCCTGATGGTTGTAATGTTCACACGTCTTACTATGGGTGGTAGTAGTGTGTGGTGAGGGTGTGGTGGTTGTATAGTAGTGTGGTGAAGGTGTGGTAGGGTATGGTGAAGGTATGGCAGTGTGTGTTGGTTGTCTGGTGGCGTGTGGTGGTAAGGATGTGGTAGTGTGTGGTGTGGTAATGCAGTGAGAGTGTGGTGGTAAGGATGTGGTAGCGTGTGGTAGTTGTGTGGTAGTGTATGTTGATTGTACGGTAGCGTGTGGTGGTTGTGTGATAGTGTGTGGTAATGATAATGGTGCTTGTGTACATAAGAACATAAGAAAATAAGGAGTCTGCAATAGGCCGGTTGGCCTGTGCATGGCAGCTCCTGTCGAGAGTTACTACCACTCTCTATCATCCATGAATGTATGGTGAGTGTGGTGGTTGTGTGTGGTGATTGTGAACAGGTGGTTGTTGTTTTGTACTGTGAGGGAGAGGGAGGGAGTGAGTAGAAAGCGACAAAGCATGTGCTCTCTCTCTCTTTCCAAATAGCATTCTTACTTCCCACCACTGCCTTCCTTCTTACTGTCTCTCCCTCCCTCCAGTTCCCTCCCTCTTACTGGCCATTCTTCAGGTGATCCTAGATACCTTCTCACATCCATTTAGGTTAGGTTAGGTTAGTGTTAGATTGGGTTAGGTTTGGGTGGGTGTTCTTCAGGTGAATCTATATACCCTTCTCGTATCTGCCTGTACCGTTCTGTACCATGGACCCCAAGTACCCTGTACCATAGTCGTACTGTACTGTGGCCCGTACCCCTCCTGAACCCTTCCCCTGCCCTCCTTTCTCCCGTGGGCAGGGTCGGGTACTTTGGGGGTATTGTACTGGGTGGTATTGGATGTCCCCAGAGATACCCGTATGGTAGAGAGAGAGAGAGAGAGAGAGAGAGAGAGAGAGACTGATGGAGAGATGAGTAGATATGGAGAGAGAGAGAGAGAAAGATGGAGATAAACAGTGAGAGAGAGAGGGAGAGCTGAGAACGGTAGATATGTAGTGAGAGAGAGAGAGAGAGCTCTGTTTGACCTGCTTACCGGCAGTATGTGTGTATGTATATGTGTCTACCTATCTATCGATCTATCTGTCTTGTCTATCTGTCTGTACGTCTGTCCTGGTAACATTTAAACCCATCAGATTAACAGACAACAGCCAACGAGTCTCAACATATATGGCTTGTCTGGGGCGAGTCAGATCAACCTGAATTTTAAAAAGAAAATTCAGACAAAAACAAAAGAAACGAATTTAATTTTTATTCTGAAAACTTAAAAATAAATCGAACTTATTAGATTTTGTTTTAATATGAGATGTAAGTTTGTTTGTTTACCTTGTTTACTTAGTGTTTTTTTAGCTTGTTTGGTTGTATTGTTTTATTTGTATTAAGAGGAATATAATTTTGTTTGTTTGTTTTTAATACGAAGGCCAATTTGACAGATTTTGAACCATCATGTGTGTGTGTGTGTGTGTGCGCGCGCTAAGCTTGGGGTGCTGACCTGACTCCTGACCTCTGAGCTCCCTACCAGAGGTCACCATGATTTTACTTAGCGAGGTCATGGTGAGAGAGGGAAAAGGGGGGGTGAGACAGAGAGAAGAGAGAGGCAGAAATAACCGAGAGTTATTGAGAGGAAGAAAGAGATAGTGATAAATTAAGTTATTTAGAGAGAGAGAGAGAGAGTTGAGTAGCTAAGAGCGTTAATGTATTTAATGATCTCTTGTGAATTATAAGTCTGGTCTGGAGGATAGTGTGTACTCCTTGTCTCTCTCTCTCTCTCTCTCTTCTCATTCATGTATATCTCTCTCTTTCTTAATCCCTCTGAATATTGTGTGTGAGGATGGATGCGTGCATTTAATTTGTGTACACATGTGCAGCTATATACTAAAGGGAGGGGGTGGGGGGGGTTGTGGTGGGCGTGCTAGTAGTTGTGGTAGGTGTAATAGTAATTGTGGTTTTAGATAATGTGTTATTAATTGTGGTGGTGGTGGTAGTAGTAGTAGTAGTAGTAGTACGATGAACTCATCAACAATGGCGTCAGAATAACATTGAGACTGTAGCGTTATTTAAAGTGTGTTTTTTCGCTATTTACGACAACATGTCAACAGAGAGAGAGAGAGAGAGAGAGAGAGAGAGAGAGAGAGAGAGATCTTGGGGGAATTGTACGCTTGGTATATAGTGATCTGAGGTGAGATGTTGAGAGAATGAGAGAACAATAAAAGAGAGGGGAGAGAGAAACAAAAAGAGAGATGGGAACAACAAAAGAGAAGAGAGAGAAAAGAACGAAAGAGTTGTTGATAAATATTAAAAGAGAAGAGATATACAATAAGAGAGAGAGAGAGACCCAACATAACACTAGCCAGAAATTTCGCCTCCTGAACTTAACCAAATAACCTTAGAGATACAAAATGGCGCTGAAATAACACGGAGACTGTACCTCTTGGTTATGGCTAGGCTAACGTACCCTCATCTGGTAACTTACTATAGTCGCCCCGTTATTAACCATCTACGTTAACGCCCTGTACTTAATCACTTCCGTTGCAGATGACAACCTATAATAACGCACTGTAATGCATTTTAACCAGTATTAACCACCTGATTACGTTATTAGGTAAGGTAAGGTAAAAGTCATCTCTGGCTAATTTTCCACCTCGAGTTCATTGTTGCTAGGTAACGTGAGCTGTACGTGTGTGTGTGTGTCTGACGTCTCCCAAGGCAAGTTCTCGGTCTGTTTAGTGGAGCGTAGCGAGTCGGGAAGGAGATGAGACCAGAGTAAATGAAAGAGGAAAAACATAGGATTGATAATAATGGAGAATGGGAAATACGATATATGTATATATATATACATAAAGAGAGAGAGAGAATAAGAGAAATGTGTTGAGGAGATGAAAGAGACGGGAATAAACAAAGGAAGGACGCACAGAACTGATAATTGTGGACAGGGTAAATATAGAAAGACATAGAACAAGAGAAGCATAATTGAGAAAGATATAAAAGAGACGGGAATAAACAATATAAAAAATAAACAACAGGATGGAGAGAAGAGATGAACAAAAAAATAACGAGAAAGAAACAAAGGAACGATAACTGCGGTGAAGGAAGACGGCAGCGATTCACCCGGACACCAGACGTAGGATAAATGCGTTTACAAGTGGCTTTTACTTTTGTGATTCGTAAGTTATTTTGTACACCAGTCAGAATGTAAAAAAAAAAACGCCTGAAGTTACGTTAGAGTCTTGGATCATTTTCGACGCCATGTTTATTGTGGTGGTGAAACGCCAGTTGGATTAATTTTCATATTTTTTTTTCACTATTCACCAAATTTTTTTTCCAAAATAAAATAATAAAAAATAAATGATGGCAAATAGGATGATATTATAAGGTTTTTTACGGTAAATAAGAAGATATAATGTCTTGACTGTAAATAAGACGATATAATAAGGTTTTGGCGGTAAATAAGACGATATAATAAGGTTTTTGACGATAAATAAGGTTACTGACGGTAAATAAGACGATATAATAAGGTTTTGACGGTAAATAAGAAATAATAATAAGGTTTTTGACGATAAATAAGGTTACTGACGGTAAATAAGACGATATAATAAGGTTTTTCACGGCAAATAAGACGATATAATAAGGTTTTTGACGGTAAATAAGACAATAAGGTTTTTGACGGTAAATAAGAAATAAGGTTTTTGACGGTAAATAAGTCGATATAAAATGTTTTTGACGGGTATAAGTTAATATAGGGTATTTGACTAAAATAGACGATATAATCAGATTTTAGACGGAAATAAGATATAATCAGTATTTTAACAATATAATAGTTTTTAACATTTAACAAGACGTGGAGATGAGAATATTTATTAAATTATATTTTACCTAAACTGCGCCTGAATGAATATATTCTCGGAAATAAATAGTAGTTTTGCTGAAACGTGATGTATTTTAATTTAAAATAGGATAAAATGTATGGCGAAAACAGAAGACTTTACCTAAGCTTCCGATGTTCTTGAGATGTTATTAGTTTTTGTAATAGTTTTCGGTTAAAATACTGTTACATTACAATGATATTCTATTCATGCTATGCTAGATATAATACATTCACGGAAATGTAATATTTTTGCTGAATTTACGTACGTATTACAGTGGAAAGTGGGATAAAATCGTGACGAAAAACAATGACTGAAATATAATGCAATATTAACCCATTAATCGGTTAATTCGGACAATCGGCTAAAACGGACACCCTTCCCCCCCCTATTAGTCCGAATTAACGAGGGTTGACTGTATATTAATTGGTCTGTATGGTGTGGTAGTAATCAGCTGCTAGCGTTATGGGAGAGTTAATAAGTCTATTCTGTTCCATAGAAGCTTGTTTAGGTATAAGAGATGACTGGTGGTGCTATATGGCTGACTGAAGTGACTCCTCTTTCCTTCTGGGTGGCTCGAGGCAGTAGTCAGCTTTGTGTCGTTGTGTTGGTTGGGTTGCTGGTACACACACACACACACACGACCAGCCGGCGACATGGCGGCGGGGGTGTTGGCGGCTGTAAGATGCCATCCCTTCCACACACACACACACACACACACACACACTCTTCCCAGCCCCGAAAAAAGGAAATATATTTTACCTTATTACCAGCGGGAGTGACATGTAGTGGTGGTTGGTGGGCGGGTGTTGGTAGGGTGTTCTACTCCCCATCATCCGTCATCACGCCAGTAATGGGTTCCACTCCTATGTTGGAGAGAAAAAACGAGGAAAATAGCGAGTTGTAATTTGGCAACAGGAGTGAGGCGCGCCGGGTAGTGAATGTTGCCACACACGGGGTATTGTTGTTTATTTAGATTTTAGTTTATTGTTTCCTTTGCCTGATTTACCTCACTTATTTTTCTGTTTTAATGAATACAATTAATACATTACTTATTATAAAGGTTTTTAGTTAAAGGCTGAACATGGGAATTCAAAGTTACTCTATAAGAGATGTCAGTATTAGTTCCAATGCCCATCAAGTGACATTATGGAGGCAATAGCTTAAATAAGATGGAAATACAGCGACAACCATACCATCATTAAGTCATTTGTTCGTAGTAATGGATTTGCCCTGAACTTCAAGTGGCAGCGGGTAGGGGGGGGGGGTCAGGGGGGTCGAGAGAGAGGGACAGTGGCACTACTAGACGCCAGCCACTCCTTCCCCCTCACCTCCTTCTCCCAACCCCACTCCCTCCTTCACACACCCTCTGCCCTTCCCTCCCTCACCCCCCCTCCACTATTACTCCATCTCACTCACTTTCCTCACCTACCCCTTCGCCCAACCCACCGACGCTGCTACCCTTGAATGCTCGTGGTATTGTGATGCTCTCTCTCTCTCTCTCTCTCTCTCTCTCTCTCTCTCTCTCTCAACGAGTCGTTGAATATCCGGGTCCTGATCGTTTAACTGTTTAACGGTGATAACGGATGTGTGTGTGTGTGTGTGTGTGTGTGTGTTATACAGATCGTTTACTGTTTAGAATTAAGATTATGTATTGCACTTTTGCTGTAATGATGAAAATAATAATTATAGTGATACCGATAATAATAAGTACATAATAACGATAACACCCTCGATATAAGGCACTTTCCTCTCCATATAGTCCGTTAAATAGAGGTTTCACTGTACTGCCTTCACTGATTCTGGCCAGGCTGGTTGGTCGAGTGTGCAGTGTACCCTTATGATTGGCTAGTGTACGGTATAACCTTTGTGGATTACCAATTGATCAGATTTTGTCAAGTAGATTAGGTTAAGTTAGGGTTGATCTGGTTAGGTTAGATTTGGTTGACTTGAAGTTAGCTGGTTAGGGCTAGGTTGGGGTAGCGTAAGTTAGGTTATGTTAGGTTGGGGTAGAGTATGTTAGGTTTTGGTTAAGTTACGTTTAGTTCTGCTAGGTTGGGTTAAATTAGCCTTGTGCATTCGTTATATTGCCTGTGTAAAAAAAATTACAAAAAACCCTATTCGGTAACCGCCCGAGGTGGTCACACAGTTGAGTAACAGTAGTTGCCAGTTAATGTTTTTTTAATAAATATATCCACATATACACGAAATTTTTGCGTAATTCATCGCTTTGATCTGCGTATATATTGCGTTATAAAAGCCATTAGAGTAATTAATAGACATTATTGTTATATATTTTTATGTTTTGTTTGGTTTGTGTGATGGCGGGAGATGAGTTGCCAGTGGTGCTTTTAATTGATGTTTATATCTGGTTCCCCTGAGCGGAATTGTCTGAATTTGACTGAATTGTCTTTATTTTTTGTAAGGCAGAATGATAATGACTGAGAGAGAGAGAGATATTTTTTTTTTGCTCTATGTTAACAAGCAGTGATCGAAAGAGTTTGTGTATATATCCATTCCCCGTTTTCTATGCTGCATAAATCACACCAAATACAATAATAACAACCCCTCCCTCCCCTTCTCTCCCAGATACGCTCTCCCGTAGGACCTGGTCCACAGCCCCTGGGGTCCCATCGTCGGCGTCCCGGCTCCCCTGACCCTAGAGGACACGCCAGGACCCGCGCCCCAGCCCCGAGGGACTCTCCGAGGTCCTCCCCGAAGTCATCCCCGAGGTCTTCCCCCAAGTCTTCCCCCGTCAGACAACTGCATAGAGAGGTGGGTGTTTATCTAACCCTCTCTTTCATTAATTAGGGTAGGGGATGTGAGGGAGGGGATGTTGGAAGGTGGGGATGATTAGGTTAACAAATTTATTGACAGAGCTTGTAGTACAGTTTGTCTATTGTGAGTAATTCAGTCAGGTCTTGACACTGAGGGTGGTATCACTTCTCACTGCCACGCAGGACAGAGGTTCATATACAAAGAAATACAACATATTCGGTAAAAGGAAGACACGGGTGAGGATAATATATGTGAGGGAGGGTAGAGGTGAGGGGAGGAAGGGAGAGTGAGGGTGAGGTAATTTAGGAAGGCAGGAAGGGTGGGGAGAGAGAGGGAGGAGTGAGGGAAGGTAGGGAACAGGTTTACTTGTATAACACATAGAGGACTTAGTTAAAGCCACGTTGATATATGTAGTCCTAATGTGACTATGTACAGCTGTCTTGGCTCAGGTAAAGCTTTAAGTGTATACTGGAGTGAAGTTAAGCTGACTATAAAGCTACGTTAGCTTTAGTGAGACTGACTTAGCAAACTAATGTTGATTTAGATACAGGTAAATTTATCAAGTTATTATGAATACATAATGACCTGTGTGACTTACTGTAGTATAATGGTGCTCTCTCTCCCCCCTCCAGATAAAAGCCATTAATGCCTTTGTTCTGTGTTACAGCGGTCAGCGAGTCCTCGACGGTACGTAGCGCGGGGTAGCAGCGTGGGCGTGGGGGGGCGCGGGCACACCGCCACACGGGTCACGCCCTCGCCGCCGGCGAAACGCGCCACGCCGCCCACCTCCCCGCGGGTGCGTCGCCAGCGTTCGCCCTCAGCCCGCAGGAACCCCTCGCCTAAGGTCAGCGAGGCTGTAGGGGTAATCAAGTCCCGACAGAAGCGTGGCACCTCCCCGGGTGCCACCGCCCGCGCCTCCCCTTCCTCCTCCACGCCCACACCCACTTCCCCACTTAGTCCCTCCTCCAGGAGACCGCCCTCCCCCATCTCCACTACCACCACGACTCCCACTACCACCACGACTCCCACTACCACCACGACTACCAGCAATACTAATCGTCCACCTTCCCCTGGGGCACGTCGGCCCCCGTCGCCTACTGCAAGCAGTAGCGGGGCGAGACCTCCCTCCCCTGGGGCCAGACGCCCACCTTCGCCCCGGGGCACGTCACCCAGGGGCCGTGGAGCATCGCCGGGGTCGAGGGGGCCGCCCATCAGCGAGGAGGCGTTAAGAGGGCGCGTGAGGCGGGCGTTGAGGGCCAGGCTCTACCTCCTACACCAGCCAGGACCCAACTCCTTCACCGTGGGCGGCGACTCTCCCACACACAAGTACAAGGTCATCATCGGTCCACAGGTGAGTACACCACTCCTGTACTGTCCGCTCCAGCCCTCTGTCTATCTACTAATTATATTATATGAACAGGTATGTTAATTATAGGTCACCTGTGTCTATAAGATGTGTACTATTGGTTCTATCTCGGACTCAAGATGGCGTCGGAATTACTGAAAATACATCTGTGTGTTGTTAGTCTTTCCTCACTCTGGCGACCCACCTAGCCCACCCCAGTAACCCACCATGGCAACAAACTCAGCATCTCACCGTAGTAAACCCACCCGAACGACTCACCCAGGTAACCCACCATAGCCCACCATGGTAGCCCACCCTGACAACCCACCCAACAAACTACTAGCCCATAGTAGTAACCCACCGCCGACAAGCCCACCCTCGCCCACCTCTACGCCTGGGTGGGTTTGAACGAGTAGTTATAGGCTTCAAGTGGATCACGTGACAGGGCTTAAGTGGGGATCTTTTAGGCTTATATCTTCCCTACGACTGGGCGGGGGGTGAGAGGGAGAGAGAGGGAAGAAGGGAAATAATACAGGGAAACGAGTGAGATGTGAGAGAGAGAGAGAAGTAACTGTATAATAGGACTTAACGAAGTGGTTATAGAACGGTCCCTCACACACACACCTTTCTAATTAATCCTTGGAGGTGAACAGGTGTCCACTCTTAATTGAACCTGTTAACATGTGTACACCTTTTTGGTGAATGTTGTGTACACATGTTGATCATATTCGTCTGTACACACACACGTACTCTCTCTCCTCTCCCTCAGACGAAGAGTGCGGGGAGATATGATAGAAGTATTTAAGTGGGTGAAAGGAATCAATAAAGGGGATATAGATAAAGTTCTTATAATATCCGAGCAGGATAGGACTCGGAGCAACGGATTTAAGTTGGATAAGTTTAGGTTTAGGAGGGAGATAGGAAGAAACTGGTTCACAAATAGGGTGGTGGACGAGTGGAACAAGCTCAGCGACTTTGTAGTAAGTGCTGGAACGCTGGAAAGTTTTAAAAGGAGGCTGGATAGATTCATGGATGATGGAGAGTGGTAGTAACTCTCGACAGGAGCTGCCATGCACAGGCCAACCGGCCTATTGCAGACTCCTTATTTTCTTATGCCCCCCCCTCCCCCCCTCTCGTGTGTGTGATTAGCAGTATATCTATTTGATCTATTTGTAAATATTTAGAGATATGTAGTCTCTCTCTCTCTCCCTCTCTCTCCCTCTCTCTCTCTCTCTACCCTTTCTATCTCTCCTCTCCTCCCTCACTCTAAGCCCCACCTCTCTCTCTTTCCTCTTCTCCCTCACACGCTAATCCCCCCACACACCCCAGCGTCAAGGTAGCGTGACCTCTGACCTCGGGAGCTTGACCTTTTTAGGTGTTGTTGGTTGATGGTGACCACCACCTCCTCTCCTCCCATCCCTACCCCACTTTCACGAACTCCCAATCACCCCCTCCCACCCTCTCCCTTCCCACTACCCTCTCCCCACCCACCCTAAACCCCACTTTCGAACTCCCCCACCCCCAAGCCTTGAACTCATCCCTCCCAATCACCCCCAACCCCCACCACCTTCACACCTTGACCTGTCCTACTCCACCTGTAAACCTATTGAGAGAGAGAGAGAGAGAGAGAGACATAAAACAGTGAGAGGAAAGAAATAGATAGAAAGATAAGATAGATAAAGAGAGAGAAAATAAATAGATGGATAGAGAGAGAGAGAGAGAGATATATAACAGCATCGCCCACTTCCTCCTTAAACAGAATACAGTCGTTGGAACAAAACATAAATAATTTGGTCAATACGGAAGTCAGGCATTATTATGCTATCCTGATTACGTGGGTGGTGGTGGTGGTGTAGGTAGTGGTGGTGGTGGTGTAGGTAGTGGTGGTGGTGGTGTAGGTAGTGGTGGTGGTGGTAGGTAGTGGTGGTGGTTAGTGGTAGGTGTAGGTAGTGGTGGTGGTGGGTGGTGTAGGTGGGTGGGTGGTGTAGGTAGTAGTGGTGTGCAGGTAGGTGGTGGTGGTGGTGGTGTGGTGGGCAGTGGTGGTGCAGTGTAGGCAGTGGCAGGTGTGAGGTGGTGGTGGTGTGGTGGTGGTGTAGGTGTGGTGGTGTGTGGTGTAGGTGTGGTGGTGTAGGTGTGGTGGTGTAGGTGTGGTGGTGTGTGGTGTAGGTGTGTGGTGGTGTGTGGTGTAGGTGTGGTGGTGTGTGGTGTAGGTGTGGTGGTGGTGTAGGTATGTGGTAGTGGTGTAGGTAGGCAGGTGGTGTGTGGAGGTAGGTGGTGTAGGTAGTGGTGGTGTAGGTGGGGGTGGTGTGGTGTAGGTGGTGGTGTGGCAGGTAGTGGAGGTGGAGGTGGTGGTGTGCAGGAGGTGGTGAGAAAGGCAGGTGGGCAGGTGGTGGAGGTGTAGGTAGTGGTGGTGGGTGGGTAGTGGAGGTGTAGGTGGTGGTGGTAGCAGGCAGTGGTGTGCAGGTGGAGGTGTAGGTAGGTGGTGTGTGTAGGGTGGTGGTAGGCAGGTGGTGGAGTGTGTAGTAGTGGTGTGTGTGTGTGTGTAGTGGTGGTGTGTAGTGGGCAGGTAGGTGTATCTCTCTCCAATCATTATCCATTATTCTTTTGTTATTTTTCTTTATTTAGAGATAAAGACGAGTGAGTAGGGAGGAAGGGGATAGGGGGTTGTGGGTTAGGTTCCTCCCCTCCCTTTTCTCCACTACCTCCCTTTGTAGGTCAAGTGCTTCCCCCATTAAAGGGTTCTCTGATGCCCTTTAAACACACAAACAAACACACACGCACACACATGTACGTTATACTGGGCAGCGATCTCTGTAAGGGCGATGTTAATGAATGGTATGTACGATGTTAATTATGAAGGGGGGCGTGATAGGTGTACGCCCCTACCTCTCATTACCGGGTGATGGGGGGGGAGGTGAGGGTGAGGGAGGAGATCAGGTGAGGGAAAGGAGAGGGGAGGATGGTGAGGGAGTGAGGAGGATGTGAAGTGTGGGAAAGGAGGAGGAGTGAGGTGAGGTGAGGGAGGGTAGGGAGGTAGGTGAGGCAGGAGGAGGGTGAGGGAGAGGAGGGTGAGGGAGGGGACGTGAGGGAGATATAAATGAGTTGGTTGAATAGTGTCTGGGTCAGCTGACTGGCTAGACACACACACACACTTAACCTAATTAACTCTAACCCAATCTAACTTAATCTAACCTAACCCGACTTAACCAATCCTATCGAAACTTAATCTAATCCAACCTAGTCTAATTTAACCTAACCTTACAAACATTGAAGTGGTGTCAGGGTTATATGGTATCAGGAATGTATGGTGTCAGGTGGTGGCGGTGTCAGGATATTTGTGTGTGAGAGAGAGAGAGAGAGTCAACCCAGCCTTGAACCTCCCAACACACACACACACTCTCTCTCTCTCTCTCTCTCTCTCTCTCATCTTCCATTTCATTGTTGTCTCTATTCCCATTTAATTAGACGTAAGACAGGTTAGGTCAGGTCAGGTTGGATATGAGTAGGTAGTGACCTTGTTTTGACCTCTGGAGGGATGGGGGGGTCAAAACAGTGGGAGTGTCATTGTTGTTATTATTATTTTGTTTAACATTATATCATTTCGTATTACTGTCACTACTACCACAACCATCTCTCCCTTACAACCACCACCACCACCACTCCCCTCCCTACATCACCACCACCACTACACAAATCCCCACCAGCACCACAATAAACACACCTCCCCTTCCCCACCACAACAATCACCACCACTACACAAATCCCCACCAACACCCATAACAATCACCACACCTCCCCTTCCCCACCACAACAATCACCACCACTACACAAATCCCCACCAACACCCATAACAATCACCACACCTCCCCTTCCCCACCACAACAATCACCACCACTACATAAATCCCCCACCAATTACCACTGACCACCTTGTTTACACTGAGCCAACACCCACACAAATGCCTCACTCAA